GACCGGATCGAATCAAGCAAACCACGCCATAACCGGGAAGAACCTTCCGTTAGACCGGAGCCACCGATCTCGGACCATATCAATAAGTATCTCAAATCATGATAATACCTAAATTAACTAACTCTTAAGTAAACTAGAATAATTTAAACAAGGAAATAATATAATTATTAGTCTCCAAGAATCAGCTCAAGATCTTCTAGATTCTCGGTCAGCTTGCTCCTCAAGTCACGCCAAACTTTCTTGCATCCCATGCTTCTCGCGCCCATCTCCACGGCCATATGCGTGCCTTTTTGGGCCTTCTCACCCTCTCGCACGGTCGCCTCGGCTTTCCACTACTCTCATCCAAGGGCGTCCAAACATCCATTATCATAATTCTTCCCCTCTTCGATTTTGTCCTCGTCCTCAAGGACTCGTCATCGGGCATCAATTGAGGCATCTCCTCCTCATGGTCCGCGTCTCCCTCCAAATACTCCTCCTCCACCTCGTCAACCTCGTCATCCAAAATAGGAGAGTCATCGTAATCGAACGACATCGGTTTGTCCTCGAACTTGGAGGCTTCGACGTCTTCAAAGTATCTCGGGCAAACGAGAACATGGATTCCTCGTTGAAATATCCCAGAAATTCAAACGAGAACATTGGCTCTTGGCACCGTTCATACTCTTCCTCCAAATCTCTTCTTTCATACAGCTCCTTCAAATACCTCCTTTCGTATGGGGTCAACTTTCTCTTCAACCCTTCTAATATTGTAAGATCCTCCCACTTCATCTCGTCTAACTTCTCGAACAATATAATTTTTTTTTTTAATAAGGTTGCGATCACTAAACCCTACAACAATTCTTTTTAATAGATATATAAAATTTTGATGTGGAATGATTATATAATTTTTTTTAGTTCATAATTTCTTAACTACTACTTTATAATTGAATTATCAAGATAAAATAACATTTTCACAAATGGTCTACTAACTTACCTAATCTATAACATATTGCGTTGGTATTTTTATCATATATGAGACGAAATTTCTTATTTCATTCTTTAAAAATTCGAATTGGCATGATAATGGCCTAACGTGGCGTGATAAATGCTTGATATAACATATATTCTTTTTCAAGTATTTTTATTCTTTTAAAACATTATACATGTACCAAATATGAAGAAACATTGAAGAAAAAAATGTTAAGAGGAACACACTCGTATTGCCTCAACCACATACTTAAATCATCAAATCTCACAATTTCGTCCATTTGATGGCTTCAAATGACATCAAAGAAACTAAATTACATGAGACTTGGTTATCATCACACGTTGAACATAGGGGTTTGCAACATTACGGGTGCCAAATTGTGGGGATTATTTCAGGGACTGCAACTGGCTTGGGACTTAGGCTTTCGTCAGGTTATAGTAGAGGTGGATAGCCAATGTGTGAAGAATATGATCCTTGGTGCTGATGACGATCTCGGGGCACATACGGCGATAGTACGGGTCATCCATAGCATGATTCGGTATAGTTGGAGCGTGAGAATCCACCATTTGCATAGAGAAGCTAATTTTGCAACGGATTACATGGCAAGTTTGGCGGCTTCGTCCTCGCTTGGCTTGCATCGTGTGTCGGTTCCTCATGGTAGGTTAGGGCCATGGCTCGATCATGATCTTACGGGGGTATCCTACACCCGACGCGTCCTAGTCTAACCAAACTTCTAGGCCTTTGACCTCCTTCATCGTACCAAAAATAAGAATAATTCTTACACCAATTGTGATAAAAAAATCCAACATAATCAGATCTCTTTATATATAATTCTTGAATGTGTTGAATTTAAGTGACATATTCTCGGCTTTGAGATCTTATATGACAAAAATTTATGCTTCTTTATTTAGTTTGTATAGATTTTAGTTAACTTTCATTTTAAAAGTAAGTATACTTGAAGTGGGCCGGTTCAAATAAAAACTAAGTCTGTTGTGAGAACCATATTTGATGCTATTTTTAATTGTGTATGATGTTATTTTTAACATTGCAGCTATCATTTTCACAAATACTAATAAAATTTTATTGCTATTTTTAAGTACATTTTACAAGTGAATAACTTTTTTA